AGTCCTCCTACCTATACACTTGGTCCATCTTATTCCTTTCTCCCTCACCTGGTCCATCTCTCGCTCTCACCTGGTCCACCTCTCACCATCACTTGGTCCACCTCTCGCTCTCACCTGGTCCAGCTCTCGCTCTCACCTGGTCCACCTCTTGCCCTCACCTGGTCCAGCTCTCGCTCTCACCTGGTCCAGCTCTCGCCCTCACCTGCTCCAGCTGGCCCACACTTCCGACAGCTCCTGCGGGCGGGAACTTACTGCTGGTAGCTCAACAATGGGTCGTTAAGGCGAGTTTAAGAATGCGAGAATCTGCTTAAATGTTCGGCGGTGTGGGAGAAGGAGGAGGAGGTGGTTGTGGTGGTGGTGGTGGTGGTGGTGGTGGTGGTGGTTGAGGAGGTGGAGGAAGTAGAGGAGGAAGAGGGAGGAAGGAGAAGAAGAGGAATAGGAGAGGGGAGAAGAAGAGGAAGAAGAAGGAGAAGAGGAATAGGAGAAGAGAGAAGAAGAACATAAGAACATAAGAATGGAGGAAACTGCAGCGGGCCTATTGGCCCATACTGGGCAGTCCCGTTTACACCCAACCCCTATTGCTCATATGAGCATCCAACCTATGTTTGAAGCAGGAGGAGGAGGAGGAGGAGGAAGAAGAGTATGGAAAGGAGCTCCAGACACACTTATTAGCACCCCGTATACCTGAACACACTACAATACCTGTATGTACTTAGCATAGTTAATACAAGTCAGGTACTCGGTTTACCTGTAGAAATAATAACAATAACAACACTAACAACAACGCCAGAATTAAACCAATAACTCATTAATTTCGAAAAAAAAAGACAAGTACAGTAGAATAAAAATAAGTTAAAGGAAAGATCGTAAATTTCTTTCTTAAATACCAGGGAAAAACAAACGGCAAAGATCACATTTCAACTTGATCGATTTCTTGTGGTCAGGGAGTAAATGAACACCTTGCGAGGGGTGTAGGAGAGAGAGTGGACGATGAGGGGAGGGGAGAGAGGTAAGGAGGGAGAGGTAGGTAGAGAGGCAGGAGGTGAGAGGTAGAGAGAGGGAGAGGGGATGGGGTTTAAATACAAGGTGACATTTGTCGTTTTTAAAACTCGAGGAAAAAGTTTTATCAACATGTGTCGTGGTGGCTGATGAAACATTAACAACTCAAAGGTCACCGAGCCGGGTTGACGTCTCCTGCTGGGGGTGTAACTGAGGCTAACATTTGTGGTGGAGTTGTAACGCTGTTGTACAATTTGTGGATATATATATATATATAAATAGGTAGATAGATGAATGGATTGATGGATATAGGGATAAACTGATAGATGGATAGGTGGATGGATGGATATATAAAAGTGTAGATGGATTGATGAATAGGTAAATGGATAGATCTTTATTTTCTAGATAAGAGAGACAGAGAGGAAAAAAAATATATATTACTTTTTATTTCGAGATGTTTTGTAAAGTGTAGCAGTTAGTTAAAGAGTGTACTCGTTCATTATAAAGCATATTAGTTCGTTATAAAGTGCAGTAGCTCATTATAAAGTATGTTGGTTCGTTTTAAAGTGCAGTTAGGTTAGGTTAGGTTAGGTTAGCTTAAGACAGGTCAGCTTAGGTCAGGTCAGGTTAGATTAGACTAAACTGGGGCCAATTAGGACAAGTGACCCAATGCATCAACCACCACCTACCCCCCCTACCTCCCCCCCCACAACACCACCTCTCCCCCCACAACACCACCTCCTCCCCCCACAACACCACCTCCCCCCACAACATCCTCCCCACACATCTGAATCATCCTGGCCATCACCCTAGATGCACTGGGGAACTTAATCTCTCAATCCTGATGGTGGTGTCGGGGATTACTGTCCAGATGTCGACGCTGGTCCTAATTAGCGTTGGGCAATTACTGTAAGTGAGGGGAAGGGGGAGGGGGAACGGGGAAGGGGTGGGTGCTGGGAGCCTCTAGCTTGGTAATTTAGGCGCCATTAGGAACCCCTCCCTACCTCCCTCCCACATATAATTATTAATTCCTTATATATACTTGGCTCTCACGGTTTTCTCTCCTCCTCCTCCTTCCCTTCTCCTGCTTCCTTCCTCCTCCTCTTCCTGCTTCACTTCTCGTCCTGTTTCCCCCCCTCCTGCTTCCTTCCTCGTCCTGCTTCTCTCCTCCTCCTCCTTCCCTCCTCCGCCTCCTCCTTAATTATATCTTATTTGAGGCTCTTAATCCCCCCTCTCTCTCTCTCCCCTCCATCCTCTTTCCTGCCTTTCTTTCTTTTTCTCTCTGCCTCCTCCCCTCATAATCTTCCTCCTTTCCGTATCTTCTATTCATTCCATTATTTTATTGTTCCTCCTCCTCCTCCTCCCTCCCTCCTCATCCCCTCCCTCATTTCTTCCTCTTCCTCCTCCGATCACCCTCCCTCCCATCATCCCCCCCTCTCTCCTTATCCTCCCCTCCCCTCTCCCTCATCTTCCTCCCCACCCACCCACCATCCTCCTACGCCCCATAAACATCCACCACTCCCTGCTCCCGCCCATCGAGGTCCTTCCTACATCCGCCGTTTACAGAAAAAGACCCGAAAAAGAGCCTTTATTCCTTTACCGCGGGACACCCATTACTACAAGGAGGCGTGAAGATCCCCATAGTCAGCGTTGCTATGTATGCACCATCCACACTGGAGGGTCATAGGAATTAGTATAATAATGTAGGACTTGGGGTCATATTGTTTTATAGGTTAGTAACGAAATTAGGACCAATATGTGGACGGTAGTATGTGGCCAACGGGTAGACTGAGTATGTGTCTAGTATGTGGATGGGGGTATGTGGCTAATATGTGGACGTGAGTACAGCATGTGGCCAGTATACCAGGGGAGGAGGGAGAGGGAGAGACAGGAACATGTGCAGCTGGTTCATGGGTCATGAGACGCACCATCCCGCAGTATGTTAATCTGAGCACCTGTGATTAAACCAGCAGCTCCAGGTACCAAGTGTGAGCCAGGGTTCGCCCACCTAAGCAAAGAAGATTTAGGCATTATTACGAGTTACCTAAAACGATTTTGTTGAGAGGAATAATTAGGAAGGTGGTGTTGGATGCCCCCTGCCTGAGGACCATAATAAAATGTAGCTTCTTCAATGTTTTTTTTTTACGTATTCAAAAGTGACTGACCTTACTGCCCTTCAGGTATGCCCTCAGGTGTTTTTTTGTATTTGAGGGAAATTACAGCCAGGTGTGTAATATTATACTAAATATAGAAAATACAATATTCTAATGACTTAGTAGGTATTAGTATATCTCCCTGTCGTAAGCATGAAGATTAGTTATGATAGTTGTGGCAATTTGAATTAATTTAGTCTTCGTAAGAGAATCATTTCATAAATCTTACTTTGTTGTTAATAAATTGGTAGTTTATTAAGCTTTCAAGTTTTATTATGATAATTAGTTATTTTTGTTATATTAATTAAATAGATCTCTTAGTTATGCGATTCACGTAAGTAATTAAATTGGATGATTTTATAATTCAGAGATGGTTCAGACATGCGAATTTTACATGAGTAGTCGGCCAACTTTCTTACCTGTACTTAAGGTCAGAAAGAGACGAATTTGGTGCCGTGTAAACAATTAAGTATGACGTGACCAACATACCTAAGGTGATCTTCCTGCCGCCTATCCCCCCCTCCTCCTCCTCCTCTTCCTCCTCCTCTTCCTCCTCCTCTTCCTCCTCCTCCTCTTCCTCCTGCATCATCTGTTTGGCTGCCTGACGCTACACACAACCATATCTGACTTGCAACACTCGCTTCTTAGCATGCTAATTTAAGGTGAGGGCAGGTGTGACATATGCTACTTAATGAAGAATGACTGTTTTTGTTATCCCCCCCTCCCCTTCTTTTCCCCCCTCCCTCTCTCCCGCCAGCCTAGAGATGGAGGGAGAGGAGGGATATAGCGGCCTGTCTGTCTTTCTGTCTGTCTAAAATCAAAACTTTTCATTGATCAAGGGTCGTGATGTTTTATAATAATCAAAAGTTTGTCAAAATCAATCCGCTCACCAAAAGAAAAATTTCGGAATATTCACGAAATGGCGAGTTTAAATGGCGAGCATAAATGGTCAGATTCTATTGCGAATTTAAATGGCGAATTTTAAATGGCGAATTTTAATGGCGAGCTATCGATAAGAACAGCTGAATAGAACACAACACCTAGATGTATAGACTATTTCCCTTAAACAAAACCAACAGTCAGAGGACACACGTGTAGACCTGAGTGAAGAATAAAGAGAATATATAATGATGAAAAACGAACCATTCTGAGTGATTCGTCTTGAGGTGGACGAGTAAGTTTCTATGTGATAAACTGTTGGGATTTGATATCAGTGAGGGATGTAGAGAGAAAGGAGGGGGGGGAGAGGAGGGGGAAGGGAGATAAGGAAGGACAGAAAGACAAGGGAGGGAGGAAAAGAAGGGGGTGGAGAAAGGAAGGGAAAGAGGGAGGAAAGGAGGCTGGGAGGAAGAGAGTAAGGGAAGGATTCGTCTCTCTCTCTCTCTCTCTCTCTCTCTCTCTGAAATTCCTTTTTAAGAGACTCGTGTATTTTGTATGGTGAGGCTGTGTTCCTCTCCTCCTCCCGTCCACGCTCTTGGCCATGCCGTGTAAATATTCCCTCACTGTCAAGCTGCCTGGCGCCTCTCTCGACGCTTTGGTGGCTTTCGTTGACCTACAGTGACCTGGCCTCATCTGCCTTGACCCATGGTGACGTGTGTGTGTTGACCCCTGATGACGTGTGAGTTGACCCCTGATGTCGTGTGAGTTGACCCCTGATGTCGTGTGAGTTTACCCCTGATGACGTGTATGTTGACCCCCTTATGACGTGTGTTGACCCGTGGTGACGTGTATTGACCTCTCATCACCCATTTTGACCTCTTATAAGTATGTAATTACCTCTAATATCGTGTTATTACCTCATAGCTCTGTATTAACCCGTAATTCTCTCTCTCTCTCTCTCCAGGGACCTGCAGGGAAATGACCTGACAGCCGTATATTACTCTGACCTGGCCGGCCTGTCTCAGCTCCGAATCCTGTAAGTACTGTGGTTAATGATGTTCTGGTTAGGTTAGGTTAGATTTCGTTTTAGAGTAGTTTAGGTTCGCTTTAGTTTGGTTAAGTAGGGTTAGTTTAGGTTAGGTTTAATTTGCTTAAGTTAGGTTCAATTTACTTACGGTAGGTTTGGTTTCGTTAAGTTAGGTTTTAGATTATTATGTAAGTTTAACAAATTATAAAGAGGTTTAGAACACAAAGAAATTCATTGAAACTAACGAGTCGAGTGTGTGGGTTTATTTTTTATTTTTGCTCTCAGTGTTAAGACAAGAAAGATGGATTTGACTAATGAAATTTTAATGCGGTTTTTATGAGTGGGTTTTTTTTGGGGAGAGATAAGAGGAGAGGTGGGGGGCTTGAGACGCGAGGAGGGAGGGAGGAGAGGGGTGACGCAGGTGCATTTGTGTGTTGAGAGATGTAGAGTAATAACGAGGTGTGTGTGTGTGTGTTTATTGATGGATTTTTTATGGTTGGTGGGTGATGGATGATGGCAGTACCCCCGGCCACACGCCATCACTCCTACATCTCTGCACCAAAAGTTCAACTACCAACACTATTTCACTCACAATACCCTCCCCCTACGACTATTACTACCAGTACCTCCCCCTCTTCCTCCTCTTCCCCTCACCCCTTCACCAGGCAGTCCCACACACACAGCAGTATGAGTAGGTGATTGACGTTCCCCCTCCGCTTCCTACTGTGGTTGATATCTGCCCCTCATATTTTACTGTCTGTCTGTAACATTACTACTACTACTACTACTATTACCACCAACCATCGCTAGTATTACAACTACTTTTACAACCATCACCACTACTACAAACACCATCACCATTAAGTATATACATATAGGCTACATATATAGGTATACATATAAACACTTATCACTTATTACTACCTGTTCTCCTCCACATTTGTAACTCCTCCTTCACTAGTGGTGTCTTTCCTGATAAACTGAAAATTGCTAAAGTCCACCCGGCATATAAAAAATCTGGGGACAAAGGTCTCTTCAAGAATTACCGCCCCATATCAGTCCTCCCAGCCTTGAGTAAGATACTGGAAAAGCTAGCATGTAATAGGCTAAATTCCTTCTGCAATGCCAATAACATCTTTACAGACTCCCAGTTTGGATTTAGAGCTAGAAGGTCGACTGAGAGTGCTCTGCTATCCTTTACTAATGACATCTTAAATTCCTTTGATGACAGTCAGTTCACAGTCGGTATATTATTGGACCTCTTAAAGCCTTCGATACTGTCGACCATACCATCCTCCTTTCAAAGCTTGAACATTACGGTGTTAGGGGCCTGTCCCGCATTTGGTTTACTTCATATCTGTCCAGCAGGATGCAGTATGTCTGTTATAATAACCACCAATCTGACTCCTCGCCAATCTTGTATGGAGTCCCCCAAGGTTCAATTCTTGGTCCAGTAATGTTTTTGTTGTGCATAAACGACATAGTCCACGCCAGCTCACTCATAAATACAACCTATTTGCAGACGATAGTAATCTCTATGCCAGCAACTCAGACCTCCATTCCTTGATGAGAACTATGAACATTGAATTAACTAAAGTCGGGACCTGGGTAATACGTAATAAACTGACCTTAAACCTTGAGAAAACCCACTACACGATCTTTCACAGAAGAAAAAACTTACCTCCAGACTTGAACCCCCTGTACCTTGGTAATATAGTCGTCAAACGCGAACAAATTACTAAATTCCTCGGAGTTATTGTTGATGAGAAACTTAACTGGAGAAACCACATACAAGCCATACACAGTAAAATCAATAAACAGTGCGGTATCATGTATCACACTCGACAGTCACTCACTCTCACAGCAATCAAAGAAATCTATCATGATCTTGTTTACCAACACCTGATACACTGTCACACACTATGGGGGACCTCTGGCTCTTCAAAAACACAATCTCTGGTTACTGCACAAAAGAGAGTTGTACGGACAGTGACCTACTTGAAAAAAACAGATCACACAAACGAAAAATTTGCGATATTGAAATTTTTAAAATTCGAGGATATTAACACTTACTGCTGTGCCCTCTTTGTTTACATATCTCTCAATCACTTGCTTGACAATAATTTCTTCCAGTTCCGGAGTAATCAGAGATACAACTTAAGGCACCCAGAGCTACTAAGACCGCCCCCCATGCGCTCCTCTCAGTCCCAGACCTCCATAAAATATCATGGTGTGAAGGTATGGAACAACTTACCCCCACCCATCGGGGCAAAGACTACGCTCCCTTCCTTTAAATCATCTCTAAAAAAATATCTATTGTCGAAGTATTAATATTTCTTGTAACACTTATTATATTTACAGTACCTGCTTTTATTGTACCACCAAAACCGTTTTATCGGAAATTATCATGTAAATAAATAAGTAATTACCATTGCAATAAACATAATTGCCAACTAGGCATAATCCTGAAAGCTCTGTCCTCTTGTTCAACCTTATTACTGTACAACCCAGGTTGTACTGCTCCCCCATTATACTTATGTTTTTAAATTCTACTCTAATTTATATGTATATGTGTATGTGTATGTATGTGTGTGTGTGTGTGTGTGTATATATATATTTATATATATATATATATATATATATATATATATATATATATATATATATATATATATATATATATATATATATATGTGTGTGTGTGTGTGTGTGTATGTATGTATAATTAAATAAATAAGTAAATAAATAAATACATAAATAAACAAAATAATAAAAAAATAATAAAAAATAAATAAAAAATAATAAATAATAAATAATAAAATAAATAAATATTGAAGTGATAACCATGGTAACACTATGAGATGTTCTTATTACCACCATACTATTGTACTATTCCAGATGATACGAAATGATACATCATACTTCCTTGAGATAAATGTATAGTATATATCAGGTGCCTCAAAGAGAGCTCAGGTTCTCAACTGGCTCAGCCATGTTAATATTGTTATTATTATCCACTCTGTATCTGTGTTTTTCTGGCTAAATAAACTGTTTCAATTCAATTCAACACAATACAATACAATATAAACATACACGTCGAGCTCCCACCCCCCCTATCACCTGTATGACCCATTTTTAAATATTCAGTTCACTAATGATGTAATTAAGGTATCGTAGCAATGTGTGTGTGTGTGTGTGTGTAAATTATCAACCAGGTGTAGCCAGGTAATAAGGCTTGATTCTAACTTCTTTTAACACGTGTCTTACCTTATTGGCAAGGTCGTAAATCCTACACAGTATAATATAACCTGACTCCACCCTTGTGTAACCTATAGCCCTTTTAATGCCCCCAAGACGCTGTGGCAAATGATATGAACAAGCGAGTCTCCCTGACCGATAATATTTCACTCATATATTATTATTTTTTTTTTTTTTATGAATTATTACGAGGAATAACGAGTTAGTGGGTGAGTGGTAATAAGTGGTAATAGTGTACTCGTTCGCATCACTCACGGAGCCATAAAGACGTAGATGAACCAGCCATATGGTTTAATATTAATTACATCAAGAAATAAAAGAGGAGACGATAGCTAGTAGATATATTGAAGCTTTTTATTGGCTAGTATATATGACTGACCGGGTAGGGGAGGGAGGGGGAGGGGGAGAGGGTAGGGAAGGGAGGGGAAGGGGTGAAGGGGAAGGGGGTACTGCTACGTTATATATATATGTTCCACTGGTATTATTTTTTTTTTTCTCCTCAGTCTATTACCGATAATGGGGGCGAGGCTCTATTAAAGGGGTGTGGTTGATTATATTATGGTTGTTGGGATGAGCATTGTAAAAAGGTTGTTTGTCGAAGTGGAATTATAATGTTGGTTTTAATCCCTTTGAATACAATGACTTAACTCCAAGAATACAATGACTTTATATATTGTGTATATGGTGGATTCAACTCCTCAGATATATACTGTACACTGATTTAACCCCATAAGTATGATGACTTAAACCCCCTTGAGTATGATGACTTAAACCCCATTGAGTATGATGACTTAAACCCCATTGAGTATGATGACTAAAACCCCATTGAGTATGATGACTTAAACCCCCTTGAGTATGATGACTTAAACCCCCTTGAGTATGATGACTTAAACCCCATTGAGTATGATGACTACAACCCCATTGAGTATGATGACTTCTAAAATAAATAGATTAATAGATATGAATAGATCACTTACTCATAATGACTCACTCACTCACTCGCTCACATTGATAATTACTCACGTTCTCTGTTATTACCGGACACTCTTAATTATTCACCTGGTGTCTCGATTCCCAAGTGAAACTAATTCTAATAATACTCACCTGTAATCATCATACTCGTCCATCAGGTTATAAGACTTCCCAAACTTATTGATGAACTGATAATGTCATTCTCAGGACAGGAGAGGCAAGAGACCTTTGCTAGTGTAGGTTAAATAGACCCCAGCACTACTAGGACCTAACCTAACCCTAACCTAACCTAACCCCAACCTAACCTAACCCAACCCAGCACTTACAGGGCTAAACCGAACCTAACTTAAGCTTAGTGTTGGGATCTATTGGGGTTGGCGCTAATTAAGATTTAAACCAATTAGCATTAAAACCTATTAGAATTGAGAGTCGAACCCATATAAATAGACCCATTATACCTATTTTATGAGTGGGGCTTCCAATCCCAATAGCCACAATAGGTTAAATCATCGCTACCTCACTACCAAGGGGACCCCCATTTAACCAGTCGTAGGTGGTGGGGGCAGGTGTCCAGGTGTTGATAATGGGGGACCAAGGTAACAGAGTCGTGGGTCGCAGGTTAATGTACAGGTAGATGTTCGTACTCCGGCAGGCAGGTCATGTGTTAATGTACACTAAATCTCGTGTTTGCTAATTGAGGTTCACTCTTGCGTTTAATTTAATGGTGGAAGACCCAGGTGACTCGACGGTGGGCCAGAGGGTTTTGTGGGCGTTCTGAT